TGTTCATGCCTTTTCATATCAGTCTCCAATGGAAACCAAGTAAAGGCATTTTAAAATTGGTTCAAATACCCTGACTGTAACAGCAAAAGGAGTGTGTTTGTTCCTTTAAGGAAGTTTATTACTGCTCAACTTTACTTCCTTATGTGTTGCTAATCTCTAACATTACAAGTCTAAGAAAGACATTTTATTATTCATTACCATATGATTATAGTATTATATTATTTGTTTTTTGTTTGTATAGCTATTCTTGACATCATTTCTTCTTCTGTGAACAAAGGGAACCATAATATGTAAACCCTGTTATATAGTTTCCCTTAATTTTCAAAGCCTAACTTTTTATATTTATAAAACGGAGACCAAATTTGAGAAAAACTCTTGATTGGTTACTGGTGAGGCATTGCCAAGATTGTTCCTGGCATTAAATCAGTAAATTATTAATTCATGATGAAAGATCTTTAAATCTGTGTCAAAATGCATGGTAGATGTAGGCTTCCTTGCCATGAACTGCTTAGGGCAGCATCTTGACTTTAGTTGGAAGATAATCCTAATAATAAGTAGTGCATCTTCATCTTCCATGTCTTTTCAGAGCACTAAACTCAGCAGATATACCAGAACATTGTCAGATAATTAGCAGATCATGGTCAACAGAATTTCTCTTTTTGATTTTGTTGTGCGCTTTCCGTCCACATAAAGTCTATTCATAGTAGGATCTTTGCAAAGGCGCTGTATATTTTCTTATATACTAATGAAAAGAATGAATAACGATATAGGATTTTTTATTTAGAATATTTAGGTCATACACATTCACAATGATTAAACTGAGCTAAATTCAATAACTTCATTTTGGTTTGTTATATATTGATTAGCTGTGAATTTATTTTTGTACCAGTGTTATTAATATTGTTTAACTTGAAATTATTGAGAAACCTTACAAACACCTGCTTTTGGGAAGTGTCAGTAAGCACCTACTTTTTCAAAAAGAAAAACAACACAATGTAACAAGATACTTTCCTTCACAGTGTCATGTCCTCTCACACAATATGCTATGAACATTTATACAATGCAAACCTATACGCACAAGTTTTTTTTCCCCTTACATTTCCCTCAAGACTTTCCCTTTTAACTATTACAGGACATTACAATAACATTGATTGCAAATGTGTTATTGAGACATACAATTATGAGTATTGTGCTTTACAACTAAAATAATTAAAATTGACCTAGGTAACACAGAAACTCTACACTATAATCGCCTTTTACCGACTTCTTTGATGCTAATTTTCCCTTTTATTAAAAAATTTCAATCGTGAACCTTTGGGGAAAAAAATGCATGCCTTTGAAAAAAAAAACCTCACTATATAATTAATTGATGTCAATGTAAATGGGGGGGGCAACAGGAAGAGTCTAACAAATACTGAAATATTTACAACAGTTGAGATTCATACAGGGGTTGCTCCACTCAGATCCCTTTTAAATCATCTCAGTTCAATATAAATACAAAAATAAATATTCGATAAAAGTGTTTAATCATTCTTGAGTTGTTTGTATTAAAAAAGTTCATAAGGCTATGATTACTTGCCTGATGAATATGGATGAATGAACCTTAAACAAGAGCCTGGTAGTTCTGGCCCCAGAAATGGCCAGTTCTCATATCTACCCAGAAGCTGTGTAGCCTGAATTGCCTCATTATAAAACGTAAACTACAAAATGTTCTATAACAAAACAGTCTTCTTTTAGAATAATATTCCCAGTGTTTCAGTGCCTAAATCATAATCAGATTTTTTTACTTAATGATTCAACTTAGAAACATATTTTGTTAGGGTAAATCCCATTTGACAAAAATTCCACGGTTGGTCTACAAACAATGAATAATTCTTTGTGGCTGTTTTTTGTCAGTACACTCATACACTTTCCTAATGGTGCACGCATATACGAATTTTGCCTGATTACTGAGAAATCTTACCACGCCATTTCCTGTGTAGGATCTTCACTGTTTTTATTCACTATTTCACCTAAAAAAATGAAGACAAAGATATTATGTCCATAAATCTATAAAAAGGTAATCATGTCATATACTTTAGCAATGTCACAATCCATTAAAATTAAGCATTTCAGGTTTTGCCACCCATCCGCACTGAGGCACTTTGAGCCATTGTACAACAATGCTGTCCTGCATGAGTTGCAGAACAAATATTGCTAAGTAATAACTCTTGAATGCCCAGGATCCATCGCCATGCTTGAAATCTTATTCACAGATCCTGTAATGAAGCATAAATCTCTATTTCCGATTTAACTCAAAACGGCACAAAACAATATATTTAAGTGAAGTCATTTCCAAAAAAAACACAAATCTCCCCACTACACCTGTTCTCGATTTTGCTTTTTGGTGATTAGTTTCCTCGCATGTCACAAAATGAAATGTCATGCTTTAGCTGGAGCAGAGGTGTGTTGACAGAACAAGACAGAGGTAGCAGATGGTATGAAGTGACATACCCAAGGTCATCTGGCAACTCACTGTCTTAGCACTGGATTTGAAACCCAACACTTCTGCTGTCTCCTTTGCTCTCACTATATAGGTCACGAAAACTGACTCGGAGCCCAGCTATCTTCGCTTCGATACACCGCTCCGTGTGTCCGAGCGGGATTAAGGATTTCACAGACTGCACGTCTCCCATAAGTTGTTTCTTTCCAGTATATCTTCCTTAATTTCACCCCAATATGATGTGTGCAGCTAAAAAGGTTTAAGCAAGATAACAAAGAAAATATAAAGAATGCCTGCTATGGATGATTAAACGAACACTGTTCACCTTCACTACACTATAACCAGTGACCAAAGGTACTGACACAGCATATGGGCGTCTCTTAACAGTAAACATCTGTGGAGACTCATGACTAGAGCTTGCCTCTCAGTTTCAACAAAATGTAATACAATTCATTTTATTTTCAAGTTTACCTATAGGCCTAATTGAATTACATGTAACAGTGTATCAGAACATATCAAAATCAGAGTTCACTTTATTGGCCGGGTACACCTGCATGAACTAGGAATCTGTCTTGACAGTATTGGTGAATAAACGTAACATAAATTAAAAAAACAACAACAAGTATAAAATAGAAGATTAAAAAATATAAGCAATCACGTTCTGCATACTGATATGTACAGAAATGCGCAATGTGTACAAATGTGCATGTCTGACTACTGCTTTGAACTACTTCAGAAGTGGGCATAGTTCAAGCGTGAGCTGTGTAAATTAACTAGCAAAATTAACATCACTGACAAACTCTGAGTAGAATCTAGCAGGTCTGCAATCGCCCAAATTCTTTTGAACTCCAGCAGAGAGAAAGTGGACCGGGACGTGTGAGCTGAGACAGACTGCATGCTGCTCACTCAGAGCTTTCCCGTCTGTTTCTCAGCAACGACCGAGAGAAACTTTCCCTACAGATCCACAGAAATCATTGCTCTCCTTATTTAGCCACCACACAGCCTATCCTAATAAAGCTGAATAAAGTGGCCACTGTTATCTCTACACAGAATGACCTCTTTTGTGCAGAACATAAGTAAGAGATGAATAATACAGGTGTATGGACTTATATATTGACGTATATTGTGCAAATTTATGTAATCAAGGCTGCACGGTTTCCATTTTGATATATGAAAAAACAAAACATAATTTATATTGTTAAGCACATTCCTCGCCCTCAGTAATGTATACATATGCTTTCAGAGCAGTGATTAGCACTGAAACCAGAGGCTGGGCAAAGATGCTACAAACATGTGGACGGATGAGGAATGGAGTTTTCTATTAAGTGTGACAAGGCTGCATGAATAGCTGTATTTAACTCTATACACTGGAGCCTGGTCCCTCTGCCTCTCTGCAGCAGTCACACTAATTCATTAAATCTGTAGAAATAATTCCAGGTGTGCCAAAACTGTGCCACTTCAGAATGTTTTCCCAAAAGCCTGAAAACCAGCACTGGCTGTAAACCTGACTGCAGAAATGAGCAACAAAAAAATGTGATAACAAATATAATAAATATTGTGACTTTTACCAGTATTTTTCTTTCCGAAAGAGAGGAAAAATTGCTCTTCATGCACAGATGTTAAAAACCCAAAATGTTACTCCATATTCCCATAGTTCCAGACATTTTAAATAAGATGCCTGAACAAACTGCTAGAGTTTAGAAAGCCTGCATAATTGTTCTTGTTCCAGTATGTAATTTTAACGAAAACAACTGCAGCTTTGTCTGCAAATAGTGTGGGTCTGGTTTCTCCTCATCTAAAGACAAGTTTAAAAAAAAAAATATATATATATATATTTAATGAACAGTAAATACTTTAAATTAAGTAGCATGACTTCTTTGAACAGAAATACCATCCAGCAGTTAGCATATGGAAGTATTTACGCAAAAAATAAAATAAAATCATGCATCCACAAAGCTGAAAGTTTTGGTGTGTGTACGCATTGTGTGTGTTTTTCTCTTCAAATAAAGGTTTCTAGTTAACAATGACTGGATAGTTAGATTTTGCAAAGAAGTGTGCCACCAATACAGACTAATATTAATCGCTTTCAATGTAGTTGTGTTCTAAAGCCAGCCGGTGACTGATTTTTTTGTTCCATACCTCCATTAATTTTTCTATATGTGTTGGTCAATAAGACTGTTTCTTTAATTATACTATTGCACATTTTGTGATCACTACAGTGAGTATCGTATTACTAATGGATATACATAAACTTATAAGGAAAGTTTTTTTATTTAGACTGTGTGCATTTAACAGCACTGCTTTGGTCTGTTAAGCTCATTGTTAAGATGAAAGTATCTTACTATAGAGACAGAGCTCCCACTGAGGCAAGTTTTGTTGCTGCACAACAGCAAGGAATTATTCTTGAAAGTACAGTGACACCTAAAGGCTGGTCCCATACCGGCGATCCAACGGGTAAGTGACTTTTTTTTCAAGGACATGTTGAATTTTTGAAAAAGTGATGAGTTTTCAGTTTTACCTTACTTGATAGTTCCAAGCACTGGTGAGGGGGATCGAATTCCCATCCAAATGACATGCCTCGGGCTGCCTTCAAGGGAACTGGCATTTTCATCTCAGAGTCTTAGAATCTGATTGGGCATTTGCAAGTAAATAAAGAAATAAACAAATAGATAGATAGATAGATAGATAGATAGATCTGATTGAGCATGTGCAAGCAAATAAATAAATAAACAAACAATAGATAGATAGATAGATAGATAGATAGATAGATAGATAGATAGATAGATAGATAGATAGATCATTTTAAGCCTGGTTTGTACAAAAATCAGGTCATATTTTTTTTCATTAATTGCATACATTTAGTATAATTTCAACAGTTATAGTTTTTTTATTAAGTCAAAATCTACAGCAAAGTCTTAACGTTCTTATTACATTAAATTATAACATTTTAGGAACATTTCACATATAAATATAGTTATGGTTCTTTAAGGTCCATGTATTTTAGGGAGAATGGTTGTGTTTGTTTTTGTGCACGACTCTTATCATGTCCTTAATTTTCTTCTTGTTGCCAAACTGTAACAGAGTCGGTGTCATACAGTATTTGTTTGCGCTTTGTGTTTCGCCTGCAGTCATCACACTTGCCGTGTGAGATACGTAAAAGAAGAATTAAAGAGCATCCAAATAATAAACGCTAATCTTAAAGTGAGCCTTTAACCATTGCATTAAAGCGGACACGCGCGGTATTTGCATATTATATGATGGATTTTATACCGTCTTTGTTCTCTTTCTGAGACTGAGAGTAGGTAAAACAGTCAAATGGGATTTCTTCGAAACACTTTCTCTCTCTCTCCCTTTTTTTCCTTTTATCCCATGTTGGTCCTGATTGATTGATTTAACTGTCAGTTCTTTCTCCTGTTTTACTGCTTGTGTGCACAAGCCAAAAGTAAGCACACCGGGACACTGGGATAGTGAGTGTCTCGGCCTGTAAGCACACTGTGATCAGCATAGCGAGTAATGCTTCATGCATACTAATGGAACCATTGACATATACTGTACCTCTGCACTAATATTTTGCATTTCGCACCTCATTCCAGCCGTTTAAATGTATAACTGAAAAAAATATATAAAATGTGAATGTTATATCAATTAAAATATATTTCGATACATTTTTATTGTAACAAAATAAAACTACCAGTCACAGAGAGAATAAAAGTTGTCGCTGTATCCTTGCTTTATTTGTGTTTAAATTTTGTAACTATTTATAGAATAAGCATTTGACTAGGTCAGAAAGACAAAGCTGTTCTGGGTCCTTGCTGCTTACGTCACTTTTGTTCATAAAATGTGAACTCTAGTAGACACATTTCTCTTCTTTAATAATAAACCATACATCTATATTTGGAAAATTAATTATCTTGGCACAAAGGTCCAGTGGAATACTACAATAAAAAATTAGTAGGTGTCATGATTACTTAATACAACCAATAATATATGGGCTTTGAGAGAGCACGTATACATGTAGCGTTTATATTAGTCACATAGCAGCAGCGGAATTGCAATCCCAAAGTGAATGGTGAAATTTGTGATAATTCGTATTGCCAACATACAAAAATATGTAACTGAAAAAAGTGCAGTAATAGTCAGAGTACATTTCAAATAAATGGGAAATGCCACTGACGAAATAAGGCTAGGTACAGTTTACTTTTATACTACACTGAAGGGTTAAAGCAGTGAAATCATTTTACATACAATTATTTTTCAGTTCTAGGGCTGTTTGGCGGAAACTATACATCCGTTAATGTTACACATACTGTAAATAGGTCCAACCTTGTTATAAGTTTACGACACCTTTATATAAACGCATATATAATTTGTAAAAGTATCGATGTTAATGTTTAAAAGCTGTAGCTGTTAATATTTTAATGTAAACTTGACTAACGTCCTCCATCCTCCCCGTGAAAGAGCGAAAGTACTGTTGTGATGTCTTTAAGAGGACGTGAAGTGAATATTTTAATGTAACACTACAAATACCACGATAACTAACACTCTTCTGGGTCATCATAATTAATATTACTATTAGCAGTAATACCAGTGGTTCTCAAGACTATAGTATACACGTTTTCGTTTCATATGTATAACTATATGACGTATGAAACTATACCGTTACACTTAATTTAGACATTAACGACTTAAGTTACTGAACGATTATGAAATAAATGACGCGCCATTTTTGCCCGGTTCCTTCTGCTGCATGTATCGATGGCGTGTTAGCTGTAGAAACTTACTTAGATTCCTTATCGCTTTGCTTTTTCTTGGAAGCGTTTCTTCAGCGGCCTCCATGGCGTCGCATGATGCTGAAGAGCCTTTCAGAACTTTTCTTAAAACGACAGTATTTAACGTAAGTGTGCGTCTTTAATCCCTGAGAACTGATAACTCATGCAAACAACCACTGTGATTAAGTTCAGTACTTTAGTCTGCGTTTTAGTTTAATCTGAACTATATATATATATATATATATATATATATATATATATATATATATATACACCCACACATTCATGTAACTCCACATTCGCGTTGCGTGTATCCTGACTTTCCAGAGGGACAATACATAATCGAACCAACAAAACTTTGAGTGTGACCACTAAGGAACTTTCTTTCTTAAAGGTTTAATCTGCTTTGCTTTTTCTGCAGGTTACTATACCATAGCTTAGCCACCCCACTTAAATGTGAAGGTCTGTACAGTCCATTGCCTCCTCATCTACTTTTATAAAGGGACTGGATTAAAGGCTGGCGCTTCAGGACAGGCAGGCTGGCTCCATGGTGACAGCATTACCATGTCTGTTTCAAGCTCTGGGAAACACTCAAAAAGCACACAAAATTTTTTTCGATATGTGTTACACGGTATATATGTGTTTGCTGTTTAATTGTTAGATTCGCGAAGCTGAGGTACTCAGCAGTCAGTAGGTGTGCCGTTTGCACTTGCACTACTGTAATGTTCTCTAGTTCTGCTTCCCAACAGCTGTTCTGTATTACACCATGCAAATTGCTTATGCTTCAAAACTTGGGAGTCTTCCCCGAAAAGGTTTTTTTGTACTAATCAAAGATTGTTTACTTTTTCTTAATCTGTAGTGACCTCTAGGGGTCAATTGTTGGAGCAAATGTTTCAGATGCTAAAGGACGACACGTTTGTCCAGAAAGCCAAAGTAGAAATATTTTAATATAATATTAACGCTCTCACACTGCATTCCAGTTAGTTAATCATATACTGGTAAAAGCTGGTCCTTAACGGAAACAAAAACAACTAATAATAATAACAATAATAACAATAATAATAATAAATCTTAGCATCAGCAGCATGCCATCATTAATGTAATTTTCCACAGATTATATACACAATATACATATTAATTTTCTTGCTTTGAATACAGCCTTTTCTTTAGGTAGCCTGTATTATTTAAGTGGATGCCTGATGAATAACTATGCTCATAATTACCTGTGATAATATATGCCAGTCCATTTCCTGCTAATCCTAAAATGGGTAGGAAAACAGATAAAAAAAAATGGCTATCAGCATGCACTAAACTAATTCTGATGCAGAGGAAATGGAGAAAATACATATCACTGTTTTTTTTGAGTGCACTGTAGCAGATTACATTTTCAGTGTTACGTGGAAGGAGATTCTGGCAAGGTCTTATAACCAATCAACATGAAATGTGCATGTACTGAAAAAAGAGCTCTACATCTTACGGAACACTTTTAATACAAATTAGCTAAGCTAAGAATATTTTCTGTTGACTTCAAGTGTTTTTTTTTTTGTTTTTCTTGTGTTTAGGTTTATTATTTTCTCATATTTGTTACAATCACATAAAAGTACACTAAAAATGAATACTCCAAAGATGAAATGTGTTTAAACAGTCCATTTTTAGCATGGAGCTGCTTTGTACTGGAGTATGTACTTCAGCAGAACAATATAAAGATCAATATACTGGGGTGTCACTACTCGCAGAAAAAGTGAATCAAAGTGAATATGCAGTAAGAAGGCCTTGGCTCATTTAAAAAACAAATTTAGGGGTTATGATAGAGCTCTGACTTAGAGGTCCACAGAGCAATGTTTTAGCCATCCGGAAATACTTTTTTTTCCACCTTGCTATGAACTTGGCATGTACGATGCCCTTCAGCCAATCACAGTGATAAAAAATAAATAAAATATAATTGAGCCTTATCACCAGCTCGTGCTATTTTAGGATGCACTTTCATTTGCATCTGGAGCTCATGAGAGCGACATGAAAAAATAGGTTCAGTTTTTGAATAATTTTCCTTGTCTTCTTCTTTATTTCCTAAAAAAAGATAATCCCTTACCAATGCAGGCAGTTAGTGTGGCATCTCCAAAATGTGTATATTCTACATTAAACCTTTTAATGTACCCAGCCTTTCACAACCCTTCCATTTTGAGTACTTTGCATGTCCTCTCACTTTCTCTAGTTTCAGTTAAAAAAATCAGATATTTATAGAAACGTTGCAAGCTTAAAAAGATACATTATAATTCTCAGGAATAAACGTTTAACAGGAATGTGTCTCCTACCACATGTTAAATGAGGTCATAAATGTTTCTATCTGGAAAAACAGGGAAAAATCAGGCAATTCATTGATGGATTAAACACATTTTCTCCTTGTGTCTCCATCTCTGTCTCAAACTTTATCATGAGCTGAAAGTGAACATTTACGCTGGCATGGAAACAACTTAAAGATATCCCTTAGTCGGATGATGTTACATTCCTCGAGAAAGGACAAGACAGAAACTGTTGATCGACCCAAACGCGCCAGTTCTGAACCTTCACGTCCCTGCTTTCAAAGACACACCCATGGTGTGAGCATCGCTCTCGTGATCAGCGCGCTTTTGCGCGCGACCAAGATGCCCGTTTTCACGACCGGGCATTTCTTGAACATCCGAACGCACGCTGTCTTCTGAGACACATTAAGGAGTGTAATTACAGAGCTGAAATGGAGTGTGAAAGGAGTTGCGTGATCAAGGCTTCAATTGAGACCATTTACATCTGTGTGTTGTCACATTATAAAGCGACGTATAAATATGTTAATGTATGTTTACCCCGTTCAGCATAAGGGCATGGGTGTATTGAAAAGGAGGTTCCATTGAGCAACACAGCTTTGTTTGGGTGGTGGACAGAGAGATGGGGAATAGGCAGAGAAGGGGGTAGACATATACATTATTCACTATGGCTTCATCACATGATCTTAGTTTCTTTGGGACTTATTATCCCAAGCTTCTTTAATGAATAACAAGAGCCAGGGCAAGAAGATGTGGGGGTGATTTATGAAGAAAGTGCATAGACCACCGCCCTATGGTTTGTTCCAGTACTACATTGCAATATATTTATCCCTCTGTTGAAAAATAAAAATAGCTGCAGATCACAACCTTGACTGTGGCCCCAGAATTAGCATCTGACAAGGTTCCTGCCTGCCGCAGTGCATACAGAGTGGGGCTTTCATTGTCAGGGATCCTAGTCAAACACATGACAGCCAGATTTCAGGAGCTTCGAGTCGTGGCTTAATGTCCAGATTTCATTTAGAGGAAACGGGAAGGTGAAGTTACTGCCCTCAGAAATTTTGTCCATGAGAGACTGAAAACTGAAACCGGTCTGGTTTCTGCAAGGCTAAAATTAACGTAAATTTCAGTAAGCATTCTCCTAAAGTGAATCCACGTGGAACTTTCAAACCCAAATGTGGTCATGATGCATTAGAAATGTTTGAAATATTGTGATATTGTGGTGGTCTAACCATTGCAGGATCGCTGAAAAAAAACATGTTTTAGGAAGTGCATAAATATAATATCAAAAGTGGTCGAGTCCAGTTTCAGAGTATTTCTATGTGAAGTGTAACTGTACTCTGAGTAAAATAAGTGCAGTTGCTGTTGAGAGTCAAGGCTTAGCTTGAGTCCCCTTAGCAGGCTGTTTGGTTCGCAAAGGTGTCTGTTTGAAGTCCTTTGCTGGCCAACTCTGATCCCAGCAACAGTCATGGCCCACAGAATCTGTTTATCGTTAAAAATCATTCCCATCACTAAATATCATAAAACACAATGTTTGTGGTTTGTGGTACTTCCTTTGGATGATTTTTTTTCTAAAACTGAGTTTGTAATTTGTGGTCTGACTTCTGGATATATTTAGGAATTGAAATAAAACTTTAATTTGTTTCATTTGAATGCATCTTTTCTCCTCCATCACATTTAGCAACACAATCGTGTTATTTACTTTAACTATATGTGCATGGCTAGCGAATACACAACAGTACATAATTTTAGTATTACATTTATAACATCTTGAAGTTGTTTTATAGCTATAAAGTATTTTTGTCTATGGATTCTTTGCCATGGAAAATTCATGTCTATTGTTTTGGATTTATGTTTAATATTGTAGGGAAATTATACAGCCCAATACAACATTTTCTGAATGAAAGCAAACATGAAATTATTTTTTCCAGTTAATGAAACATTGTATTAGGTCAGCTGTAATTCTAAACCTATTCGCAGCTGCTTTGAGACCTTTGATTGTTTTCAACAATTTCACCAACTGGAGGACCGAATGTTTAAGGGCAATTATATGTCAGGTCTCACTGGGGCTCGCTGAAATATTTCTCCTGTGGACAAAGGCTCAAGGGACAGCTAAAGAGCCAATGAGCCAAGGGGCTGGGAGGAAGACCACTAGTGCCAAAAATTTGATCGCGCGGTATGGCAAATGTTGATCAACAAAGTCAAAGGTTACACGTCCCAGGAATCCAAAACCCTAAAGTATGTGGAACCCAAATGAAATAAGGTGTTGTGTGAGGAATTGTGATAGGCTGCCTTTGAAATGGAGAACCAGCAAAAGACCCGCACCTGTAACATGTCATTCAGAAGATGTTACCACAGATCCAGCTCATTAATCATGTTTGTGGAACCATTAATCACGTTTTAGCTCAGAATGAATGCTCAAAGAATCGCAGATGTGTTCAATTATTTCAGACAACTGTCATACACACAGCAAATCATTCAAAATTTATAATAATAATAATAATAATTATTATTATTGCTGTTGTTATTATTATCATTATTAGACAATGCACAGACTGTATGTTTGTATACTGGCCCATTCAGTTCCTTGTATCACTCTAGCTTTCACTCCTCATTAATTGAGACCTCACATCCCCAAGGTTCAGTGACATCGGCATCCCAGGATTTACAATGAAGCCAAACAAGGTTAGGTTAACGGGATAGCTATTTGCCTATCAGCCTTATGTCTGCCTTTGTTTCATGCCAAGGAGCGGCTTATTAGATGCACATACATTAGCAGCTGTATACCTGGTGTACGTAATCTCGTAAGGGCCGGTTTTATTACCGCAGATGGCTAATGAAGTTGGCTGCTCCGCTCAGCCACTTTATTGGCCCTCCCTGA